CCCCCTTTCCTCCTTCAACCCCCCTCTAATCTACTCCCCCCACCCCTTCCACGCTCCGACCCACACACCACGATTGAACCACAAATGTGTTTGCCTGCGCCGCCTGGCCGCTAAAACAAGCAAACTATGGCGGGCAAATGTTGTGCAGTCCAGCCGGTCCCCTCCGCGCTGTGTGCCACGCGCGTTTGGCGCGCCGTGCCTGGCCATCACCGTGTTCTGTCACGGGCGCGCGAAAGCAATGGACGAAATGTGTTGGGTGTTGGGAGTTGGGAAAAGGGGGTCCTGACCTGCATTTCACTGTGCTGTGTGGTGGTGGCGTAGTGTGGGTGCGCGCCGTGAGATTGCCGTGTGGAGCCGTCTGATGAACCTTCCCTCCGCCCTCCGGCTCCGGCTCGCTTCGCACACTCGCTGCCCGCAGCGGCTCGCCTCGCCGTGGCTGTGGCCTTGTTTGGCGGCGGCCAGGGCGGAGGGCGCTGCCGCGTAAACCAGGCGAGACAGGTTCGCGTGCCCGAGGCGGCCGCCGCAGCAGCCCAACCCCCGCTTAAAAGCTTTCTGACAATTGGCCTTGTTCATAGCGGGGTGGTTGTTGGCGCGGTGGCCAGAGGAGTAGGATCAGGGGCGAAACGGCCGCCCAACAGGGATGAGGTTGGCCGCGGAGCCCTTGGACGCCCTCGGCGGAGAGGCGGCGGCGGTCGTAAGCATTGGCGATGCGCGCCGCTTTTTGGGACAAAAGCCGCGCTGCGGTGGTGGGCGTTATTGGCGAGTTTTTATTTTGCTCGAGAACGTACCGAGGATGTAGTCCGGCCGCTGGTTGCTGGTCGACACGGCCGCCGGGACGCCGGGCGGGACGCCGCTCGCCTGCTGGGGGTCGGCGATGTTGTCGGCCGTCGAGGACGACGACGACGACGACGAGGAGGAGGAGGAGGACGAGGGTGGCGTGGTGGCCGCGGCCGCCTGCAGCTGCGCTTTGGTCCACACGTACTGCGCGTGCAGGCCGCGCTTCTTCTTGTCGCGGACCCAGTCGTCCACCATGTTGCGGCCGTCCAGCCGCCGGCCCTCCTCGTGCGGCGCCTCGGGGTCCCGCGCCACCTTGGGCAGGAAGTGGCGCCTCCCGCCGCCCAGCAGTACCTGCACGCAAAAAAGTACATTCGAAAATTTGTTAGACTGCAAAACGTTTTAATGGGCAGAAATATTTTGTGTGCAAAATTTGTATGCAAATGGTCTTTTGTATGCATTTTTTTTTTTTGGTGTTCAAAAAGTTATATCAGAGCTGACACATTCTATCTCAGAGTGACTCGTGTTTGCTTTGTTGAAAGACATTCTTTCGAAGGTTGCCCTTTTCCCAAATACTTGTGGCCCTCCCCTATCTCATTTCCAGAGATCAGCAGCGAACAGGCCGGTTCGAATGCGAACGAACTCGTCTTAAAATCTTCGAACGAACACGGACAATAATTTTTTTTCTTCGAACGACTCGAACCGAACTAGCCCTGGTTGTTCACCTGCTGTTCGCTGTTCCTTCGCGTTCGTTCGACTGCGAACATGTTCGCTCATCTCTACTCCTTTCTCTCCCTCACAGACACACACACATGCGCGCGCGCTTGCAGGATGTAAAAATAATCAGCGCGCAGCGCAATTTCTTATTTTGGGAGAGAATGGCGCGCCGGCGCGGCAGTGAGACAGGGCGACAGCTAATCATGTATGCAAATTCCTCTCGGGGCGCTGGCCGCAGCGCGCCCAACCCCAAGCACTCTGCGCGCCGGGCCGCGCCACCACCGCCCCGCTACGTGGACAGCGATACGCCGCCGACATCCAAAATGTACGAGGCGACGCTGCTGCTGCCGCCGCTGCACTGCACATATTCCTCTGCTCTCTCCCCTTTTTTTTAC